TCTAAAATTATTATTTCTCCTTGCACAAAATGGAAAGGATTTCACTCATTTTGCTGACAAAGCAACTTTATAGACAAACTTATCTTTTATCTTAGGTAGGGCGTGGGGTAGAGGCTGTAGGCAGAGAAGAAGAGGGCAGAGTTTAGGATGACAAGAAGGGCTGCTGATGCCCACAGGTTCTCTAGCTTTGTGGTGCTTTGTGAGATGACACATTGCCCTTATGACAGAACCTTCAAATCTGGTTATTTGATCCACTATCCTAAGGCACAGAGACAAGTGGGCAAATGGACAGAGGGATCAGAGGAAAAAGCTTGAAAGGGAAACCGGAGACAGGGAAACTGAAAACCCAGCAGGAACCCTGCTACGCAAGTCACTGCACTAGAGAAGGAAGGACACCCTTGATTATATTCCTCTGCATATATCCGGTCCCATCACCAAAACAAAGGTCTAGAGGCGACAAAGAACATATTCTTGATGATAAAAACAGAACATGCCATCTCCACTTACCTGCATCCCTTTTATCCTCTAGTAATGTGAAACACTGTAAAAACAAAAAACAAAAGAAAAAGAAATTATTTTACAATCTTTTTGATATTTCTGGTCATGAACCCCTAAAATTTCTTTGTTTTCATCACTCAAATCAAACTAAAGCTCTCCCAAATGGGATCCTTGATCAGATTATCAACTGAGTATACATAATGATGTAATTAAGTGGTGTCTGGGGGAAAATTAGGATCCCCAAGTAGGTGCTGTAATAAACTCAGTGCTTCTTTAACTGGCTTTTGCTACAGTGGACATCAAATGCTCACAAGATCTGAGCACAGATAGAAGAGATCAGCATATGAATGAGAACAAACTGCAGAAGACAACGTTCCATATAGAGCAGAATCATTTCAGGAAAAGGAAAAGGAAATGAATTTCAGAAGGGCAGAAGGAGATATAGGGTCCTGAGAGCAATAACTACCTCCCTTCCATGCATTTTTGTGATCAAACACACTGGAGTTGCTCAACACAATTATCATTACAGAAGAGAAACAATGAGGATGGGAGGATTATTTTCCTTCTCAAGCCAATGAGAACAATACTTGGGACAGCCCAAATACTTCAGAATGATAGTAATTCCACTGACTCCAGTGCATTAGTCAGAAATACACTGGGAGAACTATAGAGAATAGAACACACCTGCTTTGAGACTTGAAGCATACTCAGTCTAAGCTTTTTTGGTAGCTTGGAATCAGATCTGCATCAAAATGACCGTGGGAGTGGGGAAGATGAGAGCTAGTTGTAGATGTTTTAAGATCACTGTATATTTAGGCTACGTCTACACTGGCATGATTTTCCGGAAATGCTTTTAATGGAAAAGGTTTCCGTTAAAAGCATTTTCAGAAAAGCGCGTCTAGATTGGCAGGACAGTTTTCCGGAAAAGCACTTTTTCTGGAAAAGCGTCCATGGCCAATCTAGACACGCTTTTCTGCAAAAAAGCCCCGATCGTCATTTTCGCGATCGGGGCTTTTTTGCGGAAAACACTACTGTGCTGTCTACATTGGCCCTTTTCCAGAACAGTTTTCCGGAAAAAGACTTTTGCCCGAATGGGAGCAGCATAGTTTTTCCGGAAAAACACTGATGATTTTACATTAGATCGTCAGTGCTTTTCCGGAAATTCAAGCGGCCAGTGTAGACAGCTGGCAAGTTTTTCCAGAAAAGCGGCTGGTTTTCTGGAATAACTTGCCAGTGTAGACACAGCCTTAGGCTACATCTAGACTGGCCCCTAATTCCGGAAAAGTCATGCAAAGCAGGTAAGTCAGAATAGGGAAATCCACGGGGGATTTAAATATCCCCCGCGGGATTTAAATAAACATGTCCGCCGCTTTTTTTCCGGCTTGGGGAAAAGCCGGAAAAAAGCATCTAGACTGGCACGATCCTCCGGAATAAAGCCCTTTTCTGGAGGATCTCTTATTCCTACTTTCCTAAGGATTTCTGGAGGATCTCTTATTCCTACTTTCCTGAAGAATAAGAGATCCTCCGGAAAAGGGCTTTATTCCGGAGGATCACGCCAGTCTAGACGCTTTTTTCCGGCTCTTCCCCAAGCCGGAAAAAAAGCGGCGGACATGTTTATTTAAATCCCGCGGGGGATATTTAAATCCCCCATGGATTTCCCTATTCTGACTTACCTGCTTTGCATGACTTTTCCGGAATTAGGGGCCAGTCTAGACGTAGCCTTAGAGTTTTGAGGACTTGTTTGTTAGAGTTAATTACACTCCTAAAAAAATTTAATGTTAGGACAACCATCAGCAGCAATTCAGAAGACTTCTGCAATTGCAAATATGAAACATTCATGTAACAGTTAAGATTTAGTTTAATAAAATATAAGTACTATTGTGTTTGTGTGTGATTTAGTTCTCACTATTTCTAATGTACTGCTGCTGCATCTTGACACAGGTAATGAGTATTATGTACTATTTCCTAAATTAATAAATTCAAGTTATCCTTTTAAAAAAAAAATCACACAAAGTATACCTTCTTAGATGTTGTAAAATACTGCACTGGGCTGTAATTTAACATGTTTTAGTGATCAGATTTGAACCACTGTTTGAAGAAATATATGAAGTAGCAGCAATGGGAAATGTGTGTGTGAGAGAGAGAGATCACATTGATTTAAATCAATCCACTCTGGTATAAGGTGCCAGAAGGGGGCTACAGCTACTGGCAAAGCCTTTCTGATGTAGGCTAGTCCTAAAATGGAAAGACAAACAAACAGAAACGGTTAGATTGGGAGCCAGGGACTGGAAGAAGAAGAAATATGTGGTTTATTGCTCAGAACTAAGAGACAAGCCCCATCTGCTCTAAGTCTCTCCGGCCGCTGGGTGCCACTTGTGAGCCACACTGCATGCAGCTGTGATCTTGCTACAGCTTGCAGGGCTCTGCAAATGTCTCCCCCAATCCTCCACCCAAGCTGCTGCAGGAAGCTTCTCTAGTGCATTCTGTCTTTGTAACCTCCACCCACTTCCTGAAAATATAACTTTACAATCAGAGATCCCACTTGTTTTTCCTGCTTCTTCTGCCAAGACTTTGGGTGCCTGGCACCCATGTGGGCATTGGACTCGTACAGGCTGTCAAAAAGCCCGTTCTCTGTGCTCCAGAGCTGGATCCTCTATTGGAGGGGTGAGGAACCTTTTTTGGGTCAGGGGCCATTGACCCACAGAAAAATCAGTTGGAGGGCACACACAATTGAGAAACAAAAACAAAAACAAAAAAACACACATCATTGACTTGGCACCCAACTGAGAAGAAGAAAGAGAGAGAAAGAGCGACACTCCTCACTCATGGAACTCGGGCATCAGGTTTTCCCTAGTGCTCCAGCCCTGTAGGGGGAAGGGAGGCACAGAGACTCAGGGCTAGGGATGTTGCCACCAAGCAGCCCTTGTTTGTGGCAGCCCAGGCTGGCCATGGACAGCCCTGTCCATCGCGAACAGTGGCTGGTGCCAGAGCAGTCTCAGATTTCAGTGGATAGGGCTGGCCACCGTGAACAATTGCTGCTGGACTCAGCGCAAGCCGGGACTAAGCAGTCACAGCTCTCACTGGTCCAGGACACTTCGCCTCTGCATTTTAAATGTAGTAAGAGCCAGTAAGAGCCCTTTTTCAACTAATCATGTAGTCGATACAGATTATATCAACTAAATGATTAGCTAGATAACCACAATTTAACATCCTTACTCAGGGCTACCCTCTATGGCCAGATTAAGTCTTCTGGAGGCCCGGGGCTAGTAGATTAAATGGAGCCCCCAGGCTCTGGGTTGAGGACAAAAATGAGGGGTTCAGTACACAGGGCACGGCAGAGCGGGATGAGGATGTGGGCATGAGGTATGGTGCAGGAGTGGGCAGAGGTGTTGACAGGAGGAGGATCTGGGTGGGAGGGAGGGTGCAGGGACAGGCTGGAAGTTGGCTGTCTGGGAGGAGTATGCGGAAGGGTAGGATCTGGGACAGAGGAAGGGCTGCAAGAGGGGCTGGGGCAGGACTGCAGGGTCAGAAAAGTCTACATGCAGACATTTCCCTGTGCTGCCATTCCCCCCAGCTGGATGGAGGGGGAACAGTGCACAGAGCCACTTCTCTTCCCCCGCCAGGGGCTTTAGTACTGCTTCCTCGATGCTTTCCCCACTGTAGGGGTGAGGGGAGGGATCCTTGAGGGCCAGATCAAGGGAATCCAGGAGCTACATCCAGCCTATAGGCCATAGGTTCTCCATCCCTGTTCTAGTGACTCCTCCTGCCTAATCTCTCATCCCACAGCATTTTAATAACCTCCTGAGAGACTGGCTCTGTGATGTGCTGGTAGGCAGGTACAGTAAAGAGTCACCCATCCACTGTAGTAATCCATAGCCACAGGCTGAGACACCAGTTGAACCACATAGAGGAAGCATGTTTAGTATGATTCATCTCACACATATACACCTCCCCAAAAGAGGCCTCAAATCTTCCTCAAGTAACAGCCACATGGTAGTTAAAGAAGCTCTCACACTTTTTACTGCCTTCCTGCCACTGAAGGATAAAACCATTATAAACTTATAAGTACCCAGCCACTAAAGGGGCCATAGGAAAAGCATACTCTCATAGCCCCACCCACATGCATTATACTAATAGGCAGGGCTACTCAACTTTGGAAACCCCGGGGGCTACAATGATACTCACAGCACATGCAGAGGGCCACAACTTAAGTGTGGTTGCATATACATATGCAAATAGCTTCTTTCAAACTGACAGGTATGAATATAAAGATTAAGTCAAGACTACACCACATGCAGGCCCCATTTAAGTCAGTTCTGCTGATATTAATAAAATGCAATATTTACCCCATTTTAACCCCATGACAGCACTTTTAATGAGCAAGGACAGTCCAGGAATTTAACTACTAAAGCATGTAACAACAGAAAACCATTATAGTGGCTACTTTTATTTTTGGCTCCCACCCACAGGCAGCATGTTCAGCCCCATGTAAACCCAAACAGCACCGCAGGCCACAAACAGATGGGCTGCATGTTGAGTAGCTCTGCTAGCAGGGCAGTCAACTTTCTATTCCCACAAATCTGAACACCCTTCCCCACTACTGCATCTTTTCCCTGGGAGCAGAACCAGGGTCCCTCCATATGGGAAAAGGGTGTAATGTCCATATTATACCCCTTTGTCCTAAGTGCATAAGCAGCCCCTGGAACGGAATGAAGAACAATCATGGATATTTGGCTACTGAACCACCAAGACTTTGACTTTATGGAGGCCTTTTCCCTTCCAGTTTTCTTCACAAGGGAATGTCTACAGAGCTGCAGCCCTGGCACACAATTAGTTCTTGACTCCAAATATTCACCCTGGGACTAACTCTTCAGACAGAATAATGAAGTCCCCATTCGTACTCTGCCCCAGCCCTGCTTCACCTCTCATAGTGCTCACAGGGAAGGACTACATGTTGAAATATTTGTTGCTATCTGATGGCTGTTTGGGGGACTGTCCAAAAAGAGTTTGTTGGGTCTCAGCCCAATCATTCTGACACTTTTG